GCCTCTATGGGCCACGGCCCTGCCCCCTTCCCTCCAGAAAGGGCAGTGCAGGCTGAGACCAGCTCTGCCTTTGAGCTCCGGCTGCATTAGGTTTGGCTGGGAGAGGGTGCTTTGTCACATGCTGCTGCCACAGCCCTTCCCCGCCTCCCCCTCTTGTGCCCAGAGAGCTCCCAAGGACGCTGACAGGAAAGCTCCAGGAAAGGGGCTGTCTAACGTAGATTCCCCCCTCCCCCTCTTTGCACGACTCCTGTAATGTAGCTGCCAGGAGTTCTCTACCCCCTAACCCTGGTGGCTTGCTCCCCCGCCTCCCCCAGTCAGGGTGCTGTGGATAACGCTTTGCTGAGTGCAGGGCTTTGCCTGCTGGAAGTTGGAGCCAGGAGCCTGAAATCCAACTCTTGCATTCTAGCCTAGCTCTGTGGCGGACTCAGCCTGCCACCCGGCCAGGTAAAAGGTATCTATAATCCCAGGCCCCGTGGCCAGGCAAGGACGCTTAGTGCCTGAAAAGGGTTGTGAGGCGTGCACCTGAGACGTTCAGGCACACAGTCCGTTACTCCATGCTGCACCGGAGCCTGAAAAGTTTAAAAAAATATTTATTGATATACTAACAGGAATAAAAACATTATGCAAAGTGGTCTGACATACCAGCGGCTAGTGTTTTCCTGCAAAATAAATTAAAAGCAGCCTAGAGGTCTGGAGTCTATACTAGCATCCGTGTCCAAAAATACTAGAAAACATCACACAACTGCAGGGTCACCAAAGGCACCTCAACCCCTGAAGAGAACACGCTGCCAGCTCAATGGACAGGCATCTACTCCAGGCAGGCAGCCCTTATTTAACATGTGGGCAGGGCTGCCTCCCTGTGCCAACAAAGAACTCAAGCTTTCCTCGGGGAATACCAAGCCCCATGCGCATTCTCTGAGAAGCAAACAAACTGCGACCGTTTAAAGCAATCAGAAGTGGCATCCAGGAATGATTTGGCTTTTTTAAGAATAAAAATAAATGCACATCAGGCCAGTAATTGGCACAGTAACAAGAACAATTGTTTTCACACACACGTCCACCCCCTCGAGGGTTCCCCCCCCAGTAAAACCTTTTCTTTTGGGTCTAGAGTCCTTCAAACCTACGTTAAGAGTCTCAGAACCAAAACAAAAAGATGAAGCTCCCAAGAACTCCAGTTTTTTTGGTACAAAATACATATATAAAAATATACTACATTCCTAAGGAAGATGAAAATTGGCCACTTTTTCCAGTCCAGTGAAAAACAGCTATACGTTACCAGATAATGCCAGGATAAAATACTGATTCAATATACAAAACACTGCAGTCCTATTTTCTTGGGAAACCTCTTAAGAAAACTAAAAATAGTGACAAACCTTTCACTGGTTGTTTGACATGCAACTAAACCACAAACTCATAGCAGCAAATTTTTTTTTAAAAAAGGTAGACCTTGAAGAGACTAAGTTTATTGGTAAACACGATTAGCACCAGCTTTTTAAACTTGAGTCCAGAAAAAGATTAAATTAAATGCTCAATTTGCCTTTGACAGGCTGACTTCAAAGTTAAATTTTCACTCACACACTCACTCACATTGTAAAGGGGAGTTAAACACACTTCAGATTAAAAAGAGGGGGAGAATGAGATGAAATTAAGGTGTTTCCATATTATCACGTTCACAGTCTTTATAACTTTGGGATTAAAACAGCTGGTTAACAGAAAGGCACAAGATTAGCATTGGCAAAGCAGGTTCCCACTGCTGCAGGAGCAGGGGAAAAACCCAGTTTTATAAGCAGCTGGTGCTAGAAAAAAAGCCAGTTTCCGTTTGTATTACAAGTTTTCAGGGCAAAAATCAAAAATCCCAAGAAAACATCACCCAGGCTCAGAAAGGCAAGAACATCTTTGAATGGGACCAAGCCATCAAATGTGAAAGAAACGTTAATTTAGAACTGGAATTCTGGATAGGGACCTCTTACATAGGGCTTGTGTAGGCTGGGGAGCTTTGCGCTGTAAATACACACTGATTTGCTCTGATTGTAAACTAAGGCAGGCTTGCAGCACCAGTGCAAATCAGGCCTCACCATGGTTAGTCACACCAGCCCTAGCCCGGTCTTACACAGACACAACCCTCGACGCCCCACGTACAAACACAGGCACTGACACTACCGGGGTGGGGTGGGAAAGCAGGTTTCTATCCCCTTAACAGTATTACCAACTAGCCTCCCCCCCCCCCGCATCAAATGCCACTTTTCAATGGCCATCCCAGCAGCTTGTTTACACAGATCCATCACCGGCCTCCTTCTAACCATCCCTTTGGAAGCAGCTTCTTCCCTTCCATGCCAACCCCAGGAAAGAGCTTCTTTGGGGGACACGCCAGCTGCCACCTTCACCAAAGCAGGTGGAGCTGGAGGTGCACATGCATGCTGGTTGCCGGACTGCTGAAGAGGGAGGGTCTTCTCCCCAGCCCCTCCCCCACGTCTGGCTTTGGGAGAGCGAGCCACGGGCCAGGCCGGGCCATTCCAAAAGGCACATTGTAAGTCAGTTTGGATTTGCAAAGGCCAACTAGTAAATATTTGGTGTGTGGGGAAGCCAGCCAGCCAGTCTCAGAGACCCAGGCCCCTCTGACTCATGACGCAAGGAACGGATCTTCCCGCATTCCCACTTCAGAAGACCCGTGGTGAAGGCCCCCTGCAAGGGCAGCGGCTAATGAACCCACCAGCTAATTTTTTTCGTGACATCTTCACAGTCAGCAGGCTGAGCTCGGCCGCGTTTGAATTGGGAAGCCAACAGGACAGACGTGCCTTTTTTTGGCACCAGGGAGCTCCAAAGCAACCGGCTCCCGACAAGCCACCTTGCAGCCAAAGCGTGTCTGACCCCCAGGCTCCCTTGCCCCATGCAACCGTTCTTACACAGGACGGTGCAGCCGGGCCCACGCACGCCGATCCCTGGGCTGCCGCAGCAAACCAGAAGGGGGCGCCTTTCCCCCAGGTGGGCTGGGAGAGTTTCAATTACTTTGGAAGGGAGCCACAGCAATGGCCTTCTGGTTGGCAGAAGAGTCACTGACTAATAACGGGGTGGGGAGGGCAGAAATTCAGGAGGTCTCCCCACCCCCAAATCCACCTGGGGAACGTTCCAGGCAGGAACTCTTGCATAAGATTAAGGGCCTGTCGACTGAACCGGACCCAAGCTTAGGTTTGTTAAAAACGAAACCGAAACACATGAAGGTTTTTTTGAATTAAATACAAAACCCCAAAATACGGAACCTTCCCTGGCAAGCCAGAGCCATAGAGGAGCAGAGTCAAGCATCAGAAAGCTCACAGACTTTCACTGCCCCCCCGCGCGAGAGAACAGTGCAACGGCCCCCCCCGGAACTCGCATGGGATGTGCCGAGCAAGCGAACAAGGAGCAGACGGGCGCGTCCATTCGCCCAGAGAAGCTGCTGGGGTTTTGTAGCGTGGCTGAGGGTCACGAGGCTGTCACTGGCACAGGCCAGTAGCAGGTGAACTCATCCACCCTGGGGCGCCACTTAAAACGCGCTGAGCTGATGGCCCAGGCCATCACTGGCCACCCTGCCAAGGGCTGCCCTCTGCAGGCGTGTCCTTCCAGCCCCCAAAGGTACCGAGCAGTCCCGCCGGCCTGCCCCACAGCAAGAACAAAGGTGACCATCTCCAAGGCTGCATCCTAACGGAGTTCAGCACGAGCCTCGTTTGCCTGAAGGAAGCTCCAGCCAGAGCCGGCCAAACGCTGCCTCTGGGGAACGGCTGCTGGAGAAGAAGTGAGGCGTGCGCTGGCTCCACCCGAGGAAGCTCTGAGCACCCCCCGTCTCCACTGACCCCAAGGTGAATCGAAGGCACTTGGCAGCAGAGCTGGAGCCTGGCGAGCACCCGGCTAGCACAGCAGCACGTGGCCTCCCCATGCTGTTTTAACCCTCGCTTGTTCCCAGTGTTAGCACTCCGCCAAGGTGCCCACTTGCCTGCAAACCTCAGAGAAACGTTCTCTCCGCTGTGCTCGGAGCCTTGCAGCGGGAGGCGTTAGGCGCGGGCTGCAAACCTGACATCCCTGAGGCCCGTGTGCGGACGCAAGTCCAATCTCGCCAGGAGGATTTGCATCTGCCATGTGGATCGGACCCATGTGCCAGCGCGCTCTCTGGCAGGCCTGGAGGCCAGGCGACTTGCTAATGATACGGGGCCAAGGGCAAGGCCTGGATCTGGAGAGCACCGCGCAAACGCCCGGTGCCCCGGCCCCCCCGGACACAGAGACATTCACAGTGGAGTGGCTTCTAGCTCCCAGCAGCCAGTTCATGCAGCGCGCCCCCAGGGTGGGGTGGAGGCAGGCGGCTGCCCAGCTCCCCCGCCACGATGGAGGGAACGCCAGGGGGACTGGGTCTGCCCAGCCACAGCAAGTTTGTCTCTCGGGCCCTTCCTCCCTTCTGAGCACGGCAGGGTTTTGTACCAACATGTAAACAGCATTTCCATTGCATGAGGAACGCGCGACACACGAACTAGCAGCCACGGCACAGTCCTCTCTGGGAGCAACCTATCTGGCCCAGGAGGGGAGCTGGGCTTAAACCCATGTCCCCTGAACCCCCACATCTGCAGCCCCCCAACAGCATGCAGACCACTGTGGCAGCTGGCTGGTGGGTTCGGACTGAGTTTGTGTGTCCCAGGAACTAGCAGGTAGATTTATGCTAGTGCCTAGAAGGGGGGGAATCCCTCACTTGCTCTTACGGAAAAGCTTTAGCTGGTTCCATTGCCTGCCCCCATCTCTCTCTCCCCAGCCGTCCAGGCACTT